CACCATAACGTAGAGGGATGCACTGCTGTGCGTTTCAAGATAAGTTTCGTGTAAAGATTATTAGTGTAGTGTGTGTGCACTAGCATGCTCGCTGGTATTACTGAATAAATTTAGATCATTGGCTTGTCTACTAAAAGCAAACATTGTGATTGGATCCACGCAGTAACAACGGAGACAGTGGTAAAGTAAGAAACCTTTGCTGAGGGTGTCGGTCACAGCAAGCTTTGCGAAATTGAGGAGGCAACATGAGTAGTGTCACATTCGTTGGTATTTAGGTGTGATTTTTCTCAGTGCGATAGCGACAAATTACTGGTGAGAGGTGTGAAATCTCATCAATTTACAACAAACTATTGCTATGTAAGTTAACGTAATAGGCTAGAGATAGAGCCTTGTAACCCAGACTAGCTGCTACATGCCAACCTTGTTTATCGTCATTCCTGAAGTCTTAAAGTAAGCGACGCTAAGCATATGGGCAGTTGAAACATTAACAGATAATGTTAGCAAATATATTATACCGAGAAGTAGCTAATTTAAACTTATTATTCTATATTCCGGTAATGCTATAAAAGGTAATATATGCATAGAAAAACATGGACCTGGTGGAGGTCACGTTGGTGGTTCATTATTAATTAGACAAATGGCTGTCGCACGTTTCCCAGCTCACGCTGTGACTCAAATCATTACCCACACTCTTGCGTCGTAATGTAGTGTAATGTAATGTCTTGTGTGTGTCGTGTAGTATGTACAAACTAGCAGCTGGTGCCGAATCAACCTAATATTAATAATAAGGTTTTGCGCAAGTCTTGCAAGTGTGTTCCATACTCAATCTATCAACATGATAGCGTAAAACCACTAGCCGCGGCGGTGATATAGCTACTGGTTGGTCGCTATGTCAGCGCCATATTGGGTTTTGTACTATATAATATATATGTATATTGCAGATTTAAATTTTTGAATTGTATATAATAAAATGAGACTAGTTGACTAAAAAATGGCTCATGCTGTTTTTGTAGACTAGGATGTTTTTACTGAAATCGTTATCCGTAGTTGCACCAAAATCTTCTAGTATGGGTAGGCGATGTGAAATGACTAGCTGTTATTAAATTACAAAGGGTTTTACTTGGAGTATTTGATAATCGAGATCAAGCGCTACAATTTCCAAAAATAATACTTAATTGCATTTTGCAACTCAAAATTGTTCATTTACATTCTCGACTTCTACATTACATACTAGCATACGTGACACCAAGAGCACAAATTGTACTATAGTTTTAAAGACATGGGTGGATAGTGGATACTGTCATTGGGACATGTTTATGCAACTAAAGGATAAGAGGCAATAGAGTATCAGTGATGACGCACGTTAATATTCATAGAGAAATATTAGCATGTCCATTAGTCATGTAGTAGACACTGGATGACGGGCCAAAATTGCCTGCTGACGCGTGAAAGAAAACGCTACACTATAAACTGCGCATAGTATCTTTCTAACTAAGTACCATACCTAAATTCTCACTTCGCAATATGCCACTAGCGTAACGGTAACAGTGTTTGCTGGACCTCTCTGCGTGAAGCCGCTGTAAAGTCTACGATATTTCAAATATATATGCTCAGGTAAGCAGGCAGGTAGGCAGGTATGCACAATATCATACTTAAAATTATACTCTAACATTAGTTGTTCAAAACACATCTTATAGATCTTATAGATGTAGCTACGCACCGAACAGGCGATCACAGGTGCATTAGCCAGCGGCAAGGACACCGGACGCGGTGGAACTAAACTAGCATGGCCGTATAACTAAACTAGTTGCATAACTATATAACTAAATTAGGCCCAGCGAAATGGCTTTACGGGCCAAAATCACCCACCGGTCGCGCGAGAGAGAAACGTATTTAGCGGAATAATAACGCGGCGAGGGCCGACGCGTTTGCTATCTGCATGTTGCCGGGACAAAGGAGATGACACTCACGCAGGGCCGGCGGAGCCGGTCCGGCCATGGCCGGACCAATAATTTTTCCGATCATGATTTTTTTCAAGCACACATTTTCGTTATGCACAGGCCGGATCTACAATTATTGCAATCCCGAGCATATAATGAGCTAAAATCACATATAGTTTATGTATACGCGCATATATACTACTACATGACTATAGTACCGGTAATAAATTCAACTGAAGAATGTTTATAAGAAGACATGTGTTGATCCCTTTAATTGCTGATACTGTACCAGAAACGATCGTCTGCTGCTCGGCCATTGTGAGCGCCATTGTTTATGTCTGTTCAATATAATTATTATTAATAACTATTATTATATAATTAGTTCAATATAAGCGAACGATCGTTTTCTGCATTGCGACGACTAAAAACATATCTGCGCTCTACAATGACGCAACTGCGTTTAAATAACGTGATGCTGCTTAAAGTGATTACGTCGCCGTAAATTCCCACTTTTTCACAAAATATAAGTAATTTTGTTCACTTTTTATGGTTAAATTGCTGCATTATACTCAAAATGGTCTGACCAATGTTTATTTGCTTCCGCCGGCCCTTGAAAGACGCGTACGCTATGCTCAGCCACGGGTGAGAAGGATAAATAGGGTTCGCGCGCCCATGTCATGGCGGAATCCGGGGACGGTTAGTCACGCGACTGTACGAGTTCGCTTTCGTGCCAAGTGTTTATCACCGGTGTCATCTGTGAATAGGGATACAACGTGTTCCCGTGCTTTCAGTCTTTGCTTTTGATTGTTGATTCCGCTGACTTCCATCCACGTCCTCGTTGCTCTCCTACCCTTTCCCCTAGCATTTGTGTAGCGTCACGTTAGACGATACATAGGCGCACGCAAGACAAGTATGTCTGTTTACTCCTCCGATCTCTTTCTCTCCCCTTAAGCCCGGCGCACACGTGAGTAATTTTACTATAATTGGTAATGCAGATCACGTGACTGTGCGCAGCCGGGCGCACAATGATTTAAACGCATGCGCTGTGAGTACCAGTGTTGAGTAAATTTACGCAGCTAGCGCGCACACGTTGAGTATTTTGACGCATGAGTCAAAATACTCGACGAAAATCCGCGCACTGCCACCACGTAAGTATTTTGACGCGTGCATCATTTTACTCGCGTGCGCGCCGGGCTAAAAGCCCGTATTAAAGTAAAAAAGTGTTAAGTATTAAAGTATCTTAGACGCATCAACGTATGCCTCGACGCAAACAACATTATTTGCGCCGCATGCTTACAGCTGGGTATATAGCCAAAACGCCGCGCAAAAAAATAAAAACCAAAAACATAATTTTGGCAGCGTTTTATCCTGACTTCTTTTATTACCCGTTTGTGTTGCGAGTAGGCATAGTTATACTAATCATACCTAGGGTGCCGTACGCGTTCGATAGATGCGAAGTGGCGGTTCGTTGATGTGCGGCGGCAAGAGTGACCTGTCTTTAGATCGCGTGACGCTGCAGTGACATGGCGTGGTAGAACGCATCTCAATGGGCACCGCGCGTTCTAGTGACCTCGGTGATGATTTCATTAGCCAACAAGCCTCATTAACGCATCAGATGCGCTTTAACCATCGCAAATGCAAATACGATACAAACAAGAGATGGTCACAATAATCGGAGATTTTTTGTTTACTTTTGGACCCCGTCTTTAAATTTAATCCCTGATTTATAAGACACTTAAATATATATATATATATATATGAGTCCATGCTAGTAGCCACCCTAAAAATCGCTTAGGTTTACGACATGAACCTAATTTCATTTAATAAACTGCTCGACTCCGTATGACCTTTACTGTGGGCCTGTAAAATGCAGCCACAACTATAGCCTGACCACAGACTGATGTCGGCATGGTACAATCTAAACAGTGATAACCTCATAGCTGGCGTCAATGCACGTCATTAATATGGTCCATGGTACGACTATTGATAAAAATCTCATGTCTCTTGGGCGTAATGTAACTTGCTGAGTTTCATTTGCAGATACGTCGCAGTTTGTTGCAGTTAAGCTGAAGTAAAATGAAATAGTCTTTTCGGATGGATTAGCTACCTCGTACACAACCCTTGCATGGCCGACGTTACGTTTGATGATCGCTATTTCAACACGCCCAGATTTCCCGAATTTGTCTCTTGACTCCCGTATGATTTCTGTGCGAATTTGAGATGGTTTGCCAAAGACATTCACGTATTTTCCTTGACTAATTAATTTAATGGCTGTGAAGTCTGGGAATGGCCGTTTGAGATTACAGGCACACAGCTCTTGGTCGACACCATCTGTGATGGCGCAGTTAAGGAAGTCCGCGTATATATTGATGCGCTGCAACGCTTCTAGTCTTATAGCTGCGGACCTGTGTGGACTATAGCCAATGGTAACTGAGAATTCTTGTAACGGAGAATTCTTAATTCCTGCACCCGTAACACTGGCAAGTATTATCATGCGTATCTTGAGGGTGCCATCCTGAAACAAGAACGATAATATGAGTAATAGCGTTTCTTACAGTTTTATGTAGCCTGACACATTGGGGGGGGGGGCGCATGAGCTGCTCAGGGTAAACACAAAAGTTTGCGCGTCTGATGAGCGTTGGACTATGTAATTATAAGCTTCTTCCCACCCCCATACCCGTCATCTACGTTGAATTATTTATAATGGTAGCAGACCTGTTTTTCTGCTGGTCTGTGCGCATTAGCATTGACAGCTGGTATCAGGAGCGTACGTCTGCGAGGAAGTAATGAAATGTCAATGACATGGTTCGTTCAATGACATTTGCACGCACTTGTGCTTTCGCTGTAATGACGGTGTGGAACTGATGTGGAACAAGTCGTTCGCAGCGACCGAATCCTGACGAAGCTTGAGGAAAACGAGTTGTGTATTGCCTGGAGAGTCTGTTGTTGAATTCTCCAATAGCAAATTCTGTTATGAAAAAAAGTTGAAATTATTTTTTTTAAATCGCCAATAGAGTTGTTTTAGTAATCGGGCATGAAAAGAAATAATTTTATCGCGAAATGACATATGACTACCTTAAGCTATAACTCGACAATAGAACTCGAACCCTGTCATCATATAATAATAATTTTAAGCAGTACCTGAAACCATTAGCTCATAGTATTACAGCTATACACAATGTTAATTGTTTAGCTAACTAGCATTATACAGTCATTATATACATAGGTCCTCATTTGAAATCAGCCGGAGTCCGTTTCGATATGGATAATAAAAATAGAGAATTAAAGACTAGTTTCCGAGTGCTATTTCTAAACAAAAAATATTTTTCAGGAACATTGAATGGAATACTACTCAGGGTATTATATTCTGTAACAAAATGCAGAGCACATAAGGTGATACTTTGTGTCATTCAGGTAGTTACGATCGTCGTGCGTCTTTAATTTTGAACTTAACTATTGTACTGTGATTTTTAATAATGAGTGGGTATCGTCGCCGCGTTAGTTTTTTCTTGTTCTACTCCTCTCTGGCTCTCTACATCGTATATGTCTATCGTCTATCCCCTCTACATCGTATATGCCTATCGTCTATCTCCTCTACATCATATATGTCTATCGTCTATCTCCTCTACATCATATATGCCTATCGTCTATCTTCTCTACGTCGTATATGTCTATCGTCTATCTCCTCTACATCGTATATGTCTATCGTCTATCTTCTCTACATCGTATATGTTTATCGTCTATCTCCTCTACATCGTATATGTCTATCGTCTATCTCCTCTACATCGTATATGTCTATCGTCTATCTCTTCTACATCGTATATGTCTATAGTCTATCTCCTCTACATCGTATATGTCTATCGTCACATATACGATGTAGAGGAGATATGTCTATAGTTTATCTCCTCTACATCGTATATGTCTATCGTCTATCTCCTCTACATCGTATATGTCTATCGTCTATCTCCTCTACATCGTATATGTCTATCGTCTATCTCCTCTACATCGTATATGTCTATAGTCTATCTCCTCTACATCGTATATGTCTATCGTCTATCTCCTCTACATCGTATAATGTCTATCGTCTATCTCCTCTACATCGTCTCCCCTCTCTAAAATCTCATGTCTCTCTGCTTGTCAATTGCCGTTTAGATATGCCGCGCCAAACCGAATTTAGCAGAACTACCTTGGCAAAACCAGACCCTGGCGGGGAGCAGCAAGCGATGCCCGCTCGTAGGTGCGGCGCGTTGCGTCAACTACTTCCACGCGCCAAGACACGATGCGCCCTGTTATCCTCTCAACGACAAGCGACCACTGATCTCTACTATACTAACTATATTATATTAGTAAAGTAGAGATCAGTGCAAGCGACACATCGTACAGCCATCGCCTGTCGGACAGAACCCGGGCGCGCCCCCACGGGCCAGGTGCGACTGCCAAGCGTCGCCTCATTCTCAGTGCTCTTCGTCATCGCTTGTTGAATACAATAATTCCATTGACCCTTCTTGAAAAGTTCATGTCCTCATGAAAACGTATTTCCAATTAAAAACGATATATCATAACTACGTTCCAAAAATACCGCTACATAAATATAGAATAAACTGGGTACATAAATTGTTTATACCGTGAATCAAGGAACAGTGATACAAAACAAACAGTCCCATGATGTGCTGAACAAGCGTATATATATATACCGTGCTCGCATGTGAAGCGGTTTTCAAGATACCGATCGCGTTTATACGCTTGATGGTGATGGACAAACCTAGGGGTAGTGGAATGGAAAGTCCGGTTTTGATACAAGTTGAGAGAGATATTGCTGCAGCTGTCTAGTGAAAATGAGCGCTCATTTTCGTATCACATTCGCTCGGAAAGTGGGCTAGACAAGGATACCATCTTATCGCGTAAAACACGTTAGTAAATCGGTTAATAATAAAAAAACACAAAAAACAACTAAACGACGAACATAAAATGCAGATAGCACCGGCTAAGCTATATCGTAAACACAGATCCATAGCCAATCTTTGTTTATTAAAAATTGGAATTCGTGGTTTCGCTATATTTCGTGGTATAGACCAAATGGTATCGGCAATCGTGACTCAAAAATGACATGACGCGGGACGAAATCGGATGCACCCATTCCCGGGCAGAGCTGTTTTAGCTCGTTCGTCACCTTTAATTAAATATCTTCATTACGCACTATGGTAAGTTTATACCGTAGTATGCCTCTATTTGCAGGGTTAATAACACGCCGAATGCGGCTTCCCTAAATTGCAACATTCGAGGTAATACTTTAGAAATCGGCTTGGCGTCTCGCCTTTTTCATCGCATAGGCTTACTATATCATACATCTCTCTTTCTGACGGTTTGAGTCACCGTCACGCCGTACAATGAAATTCGAATACCACGCTACCAACTACGAAAAATGCGCGCTGCTCGGCAATGCTCGAGCTATTTTACTGCTAAATAAATTATCTTCGAACTCGATCTTGGCTATGTATACAGTAATTAGGATGTAGCTTACCCTAGGTATCGTCGCCGTGTTAGTCTTCTTCTTCTTCTGCTCTTCGACCTTGCTCTGCGCGGGATCTGGAGGCTGTCGAGCTTGGAGGGCATGACAACATGGCTGCCGCTTTGTCCCTCCCTGTATTGTATTTCTCCCTGGTGCAAAAATCGGGTTCGAGAGCGTCGGGTCCGGAGATGATTGCCTCTCCCTCTTCTTCCTCCCTCGCTTTTCTTCTCTGTCTCGCCTTCTTCATCATTTGGGGGATCAGCGTAGCGTACGTAGCAAATGCGGAATCTTCTTCTTCTTGTTCCTCTTCTTCTGGTTCCGGGGGATTATAGCGTAGCGAATGCAGATCGTTGCATCCTCCACCAATTATTGTACTTATAATTTTCAATGATGAGGTCCGTGCAGGATCTTGTAGTGTAGAGTTAGCAAATAGTAAAGATGACGTGGTATAGACCAAATGGTATCGGCAATCGTGACTCAAAAATCGACAATCATTGTGATCAATTATTGAGATCAAGAATCGACAGCGGCGTGTAACGAAGAATGGTGACGTTTGTGTGGAGCTAGCTTATATACTGCCCAGGCGAAACCGGATTAACCGATTTGGCAGAAAATTCAAACTAGATTTTTGGCGTGAAATAGCAAGCGATGCTGTCGCGCCCGTTCCACGTCACAGCGCGTCGCGTCACCTATTCTCAGTACCTGTTGATTTCGATACGCGTCGCGTCACCTGGCCGTCCAACTTGTCACCGCTATTGTCACAACGCTCAAGAGGCCGTCACTATTTGTCACCGCTTGTCACCGCTATTGTCCCAAACGCTAAAAGCGTCGCATCAAGACGCGGTCACCGTTTGTCACCGCTTGTCAATTCAATAATGGCCTATGGTGCGACGTGCCAAGCGTCGCATATCCTGTCGCCACCGTTTGCTGAATACAATATAACCATTGATAATAAATTATGTGTATATCGATTATAACAAGAGCGTATTGAGTATGCTCTTGTGTACATCTCTGACACATCAAACAATCGATTTATACTCATTTATATATTGGATAGCGTAATGGCATAACGTTCAATGGCCTGGTCAATGCTAGCGGCGCCTGTCGTTGAAGTGAAACATGCATCTATACACATAAACTACTCACGTAAAACTGAAGAAATATCCACGAACATCATCACCTGCAAAAATCTGATGGCCGCTGTCGTTCACCATGGGTTGTTCCGCACCTTCACAGATACACGTGGCACCCTGTGCTAGTGGTAAATCCTCACAGCTCCTGTTGAGCGGGACTGGACTTAGCAGGCCCAGTTCATCGCTGTTTACTTTTCCGTCCGTCATAATGGCAGGCAGAGCCGTCAGCAGGTAATGGAGATCCCTGTGTGAGACAAGTCGATGCTGGTTCGTCTCCAGAGCCTCTAGCATCGCTGGCCCGAGTATGCGTTGCACATGTTCAGGCACGACAAGGAACAGAAACGGGTTGTACTGCTCCACCGTCGCCTCGTATGAGTTGTACTTGCCGTAGTGGAGGCCGTGATCAGAGATGAGAATCGTAAGAGTTCTCGGCTGCCTCGCAGCAACCCGTAGGTAGCGAGTCATGAAGGAGTCGGCTGTCTTGACCCGCACGTTGGAAGGTTCGTGAGCCACGTTAGTATGTGTAGGCACGGTGGCTGGGGAATTATCCAAGACCTACAAACCATGAGCCTACGAAACGCGACCTTTGCAGAGAGACTGAGGTCTGTACACATCGATGCCGCTACGTTCACTATGGCTATATGCGAGATCATGCAAGTCGCTGGCGCAAAGCCGTTCAACCTCCGACCAGTCTGCTTGAACGGTCGAGACCTTTTGGACTACGAAATGACGCATGTGATGAGCTACCAAGAAGCTCTCATTGCGGCCAATATCCCGCACATGATGTGGACAATGTTGTATCACAAGCTTGGGCATCGTATACTGTACGTTGAGGATGATAGCTTGTTCTCAGCAGGCACTGTTCGAAAAATCACCAACTAAGGATTCGGTACACTATGGCGGACGCATTATCAAGATCACACTTTTTTCGCTCATTGCCACGAACAGTGCGAACTCTTCAGGAACTGCGTTCTGAAGGCCAAGTGAAAATACTCGACTATGAGGTGTATCAAGCTAATGGGAAGAACACGCGTCCCAACCTCATGATCACGGCAACATTGAAACGCTGATTCTCAGAGGATTTGGTCGCGATGGAAACGTGTGGTAGACTCTGCAGTTGCGGTGGTAACAAAAGCAGCTGGTTGATAGTTTCGTTCGCAGTTCTCTTAAATTTAATAAAGCAGAATCCGTAGTGATTCTCTTCGTTTGAAGGTGCTATTACCTTTTCTATTCGCCGCTGAAGCTGTAACACGTTATCGAACATAGAGTACACAACCTTACCGGCGTTATCCTCGTACAGACCCAGTTCAACGGGTCCTGTATACTGTTCGCGATCACAAGTGACATTTGGTTGCAGGACGGGGTTCTTTGTAATTATCTGACAAATAACGTGAGCTGTATAGTTACTGCATGTTTCTGGTGGACGGCTGTAGATCTTCTTGGTTATTATACAGGATTCCGCGTAAGGTGTAGCACGGGCACAGGTAGCCAATTCTCGCGATGACTCTCGAGGTTGCAGTCTAGGAATCTCACAATCAGTATACACACCGAGAGAACTAAAAAAAAAACGTAGAAAGAGTAAAGAAACAGTACGCCACGACATAATAATCTATCTGGTAATATACAGATTTTGGTCCTGCCGGTCTTGTGTCAGTCTTGTAACAAGTCACTATATGTATCTTGGCCAGGACACAGGACCATAAGTAGGTTTGCGCTAGAGAAAAAAGTGTGACTTCTAAAATAGAATTCGATAAACACGGCTAATTAAAGAGGTTCTCCCGCTCATGCATACGTACATACTCGTCACATTTCGATGCTACAAGCACACTTAGATATTCATAGATTTAAATGATGCCCGTTTGCACTATCGTCATTTTTTCTTTGCATGCATACCCTACCTTGTCGGCACCGTACGCAGTTTCGTTATTTTGTAGTTTCAATTTGTAGTTTAAATGTGTTTCATTTTGTTTCGAAATAAATGCAAAATATTTACCAGAGCGATAGTGACAGTGTAATTTTAGCATTTTTACTGTTTTTACTGGGAGTTATTGATTTATATACGTGGTGTGATTGTTATTGATGTAATGTGTTATTTTTTCACTTTTAATTTTCAATAAATTATTTAAGTTAAATTCTAATTATTTGTTTAATTGTTAAAATTTATTATTATAAAAAATATAATACTAGCAATGGTATGCTGACGAACGATATCCGCACTTTATTTATACATATACTTACTGCAAAACGCGGAGGTAAACTAGTATGACGCACAGAAGCTCGCACAATGAGGCGAATTGCACGTACGTGCTCTTAAAAATGCGCAATCTATCAAAACGCTCACTATATGAACTCCACGGTAGCTGTGGCAAACAGTTACGTCACCGTAAATAGTAAAAGTAAAACAAAATTACGCGCATGCACGCGTGTGCACGCGGGTACGTGCGTGTACACGCGGGTACACGCGGGTACACGCACGTACACGGAGATACACGCACGTTCACGCGGGTACACGCACGTGCACGCACGTACACGCGGGTACACGCAAGTACACGCACGTACACGCAGGTACACGCGGGTACACGCACGTACACGCGGGTACACCCACGTGCACGCGGGTACACGCACGTACCCCCATGCTACACTTGGCGCCCCATAGATTTCGTAACATAATCAGTCATGCTACACTTGGCGCGCTGGCGCGCAAAGTGTAGCATGATTTCGTAACGAAATCACTCGCAGTAGCTGATTTCATAACGGTAACCGAAATCACTTCAGGTAGCTGGATTTCGTACGTAATCACTCGCCAGTAGTTGAATTTCGTAACGAAATCACTTTTCGACTTACTTTCGTTACAAAAATCATTGATTTTCGCCTAACGAATATCAGTCATGCGACACTTGGCGCCCCATAGTTACTAACATAACATTTTCAGTCCCGGTATTATAAAATGTGCTGAATATACCCCTGTAATATAAAAACCTGTAATAACTGGCTAAAACTGCATGTCGGTGAGTACCTTTGCCGCTACCGAATGGCAGGGTGCCGCTATGCTGACTGCAGCTTCAGGCCAGTCGGCTCCAGTGCGGCAACCTGTACTTGCCCGTCGTTCTTGCTTGGTGATTGCGCGATGCGCACAACTACCTCCGTAGCAAGCTCATCGCTACATCTCGGGGCAGGCATCCTCATGAATGTACTTGAATGCACCTTGCGCTCTCGTTCCTGGAGCTCCACCAGAAGCTCGGTCGCTATGAGCACAAAGGTCAAGCGCCTGCCCTACAATCTATAGTCTAAATCCACCGACTCTTCTTCTTTTTTTTTCTTCTTCTCACCTCTTCTGATTTATTCTATTCTGCTGATGTGCCTGGTAGTTGCTAATATTGACCAGATTAAACTGATATTCCAATAACAGCAAGATGATAAGCCTTCCAATTGTTTGTTTTCTTTTCTTTCTTTTTTTTCTTTCTCACTTCGGAGCGTTCACCACAACTGACACCGATCTAGAAAAGGCCAAAACTATTTGATTACCATTTCTCAAACAGCGCAGTGTAGTACGCAACTAACACTGCAATCTCACAACCGCAACTAATATGGCTTGGGCATACTGCTATGGGAATACGCACAATTAGCGTTGGTGGTTACGCTACACCTGCACATGCAATCGCCAACAGCCACGCCAACACGATTCGCCCCATACAGGTACGCCAACACCATTCGCAACATGTACGCCTACCAAACCTGGCCAAGATACCTCCAAATTTGACTGCGATCACCTGGCTTCATAACTTATGAGTTGCACGTACCTGTTTGCGCCATCGTGCTTGCTGAATCGTGTTGCTGATCGTGTTTCCTGCTGATCGCTATGCGTACCTGCTTGCCGTCCCTGTTGCGTATAAGATGATCGCAGGCATTCGCCAGGTGAGAATTTTTGAAGCGAGGCTTTTCAAAAGATCTTCTATAAACTTACTCGTCTGCGGTGTTGTGGTCTGCGATCACCTGCTATGCTTGTGCGCTACTTCAAACCTATAAAACCTATTAGTTGCGTCGTGAGTCTGTAAGCGTCCGTCACACCATAGCGATCACCAGTTGCGTATAGGATTGCGTAATAAAAAATAGTGCGGCATAAGTTACGAACTGCAACTACACACGCAGACTAATTAGGTTTACCACGTGTACACGTGCAACCGCAACTTGTAAGTATTATTAACGGGTGTTTTATACGGGTTTTTATACAGTGTTTTTACCACGTCGACCGATATTCGCCAATTTAGCACGCAACTAGAAACGCACGCGTCCAACGCAACTTGTAAGTTGAACGCAAACTCAAACGCAATCTCGTATAGCTTATGCCCACGCAACTCACACGCAACTTCGTACGCCCAGGTGCATCGCAGATAGCGGGGTCATAAGTTCAGTCGCAACCCACACGCAACACCATACGCACCCACACGCAACCCACACGCAACTCACACGATTAAAGATCTCACNAGCATCTTAAATCAGAAGAACTCGAAAAATTACATGGAAAAGTACCGCATTCAGTTCTGACAGAAATCAGGGGCGTTTGTGGAGACGTTATCACTAAACAAGAAAAACTGACACTTCATGAATTCCCGACGACAACAGGGGTTGAAAAACGGGAACTTGGAAGATTTGGATTAGTGTGGAAAATATTGACGATTGGAGTTCCACTTCTGATAGTCAACGGAAAATACAAAGAGGTTCTCTTCCTTAATTTCTGTGTGAGAATGAGCTCCAGAAGGACTAAGGTCTTGTCGTGGATCGGTGTATCGAAGGATTAATTATTAAAGAGTAAAGAAGCTGATCACTTGCTTATTTTAATTGATGGTTTCCTGGAACTTATCCGACAAGGGGTTGTCCGGGACCGGAAACGCGCGAGAAGATCAGGTTAAATATATCCCAGGAGAATGGCAAAGCCTGCTTTTCAGTCTTGGAGGTGGAGAGTGGAATACCTCCATGATAGCTAAAGGAGCTCAGCTCTTAGCTCTCGGAACCGCCACCAGGGCTGTGGCAGATGATAGGATCAGTGCTGATGTGTTTGAAGGGACTTACTAGACCAAAACTGTCTTCACAGGTCTTCCATTGCAGGGTTCTCCAAGGGCACTTATAGCCTGGCGGCCCGCCACGCTATCGTCGAGCCCCGTCATCCTAAAATGCACCGGCCACACTAAGTTTCATAGCCGCCATGCTGGTGTATACACGAGAAGTTGAAACAATTAATTAATACACGTTGGTCTCGATGCTACGGGTACGGCAGTACCACACACAAGAACAAACAGTCACCCTATCTTTATCCCATATTACCCCCTATCAAGAGCTAATAATACCGGCAGGTAACCCAATCTAACACGAGGTAGAGTAGACTGGTACACTTACCGACCACTCCTGCCATTGTCAATAGTGATAAAAAAATTATTTATTCATTTATGAGAGGTGAACTCGATTTG